ATATCATATTGTATTGCATTATATTATATCATATATTGTATCATGTCACATCAAATTATATTGAACGTACCATATTGTATGATATGATATGATATGATATCATATTGTATTTATCGTATTGTATTCAGTTGTAATGTTTGGTTTGATATTCCATGGTTTGGTCCAGTATGGTATGAGGCCTTCTCTAGTACCATTAAGTATTCTTGAGTACTGTTATATATCATATCGTATCGTACTGTGTCAAAATCGAGTCATGAGTCGCTCCATGACGGCGTTCCTATAGTTGAACTATTTCCAGCCTTTAATAAAACCACCGTATACTATCAGGGGGTCAGGAGTTGATATTAATAAGAACTTCTGCTCCTGCAGCTTCTTTTAACTCAAAATAGATTCTGGTAGGAGGGTTCACTCTGAAACTGGACCTGCAGAGACGGCATGAAGGGGGCGCTCACAGGAGAGATTCAGTCTCCTGGTGTCCACCTTAGTATCAGAGATCTGCCTGATTTATAAGAGAAGTGATCTTCAGTAAAGACAGAGAGGTTGTTCACCTATTTATGATGAACATTATTCATCATTTACCAACAGCTGCTGAGTGAAATTAACTCTTCGTCTGTTTTGTATTTCCTGGCTTTGGTTTTATCTGTGATATTGGAAGCTGTTAACACCGGGGCTAAATGAGTCTGAATGTTATTTTTGTGTTTGTGATTTTGGTCGATCTGCTTTGTTATGTTACAGTCAGTGTGCTGAAGTCTTATATTTGTGGTCTGTATGAATGAACAAATGCAAATCCTCTCAGTCCCTCAGTACCTGCTCAAATCACCTGTTAATTACCTGTGTGATGCTCGCTGGTTCGTCTGAAGTTAAACAGATGGTCTTTAACAGCCGTGGGTTTTTTTGTTTCTTTATCAGCTACATTATATATCCAATATTTGCTTTTGTGTATCACAAAGGGAATACTGAATATAAACTCTGTAGTTCCATCCAAGCCGGAGCCTCAGATAGATGGGATCGTAAATCCTGTTCTGATTCACTGGGATTTTTTAAGATGAAAGTCTGTATATGAGCTCTTTGAAGAAGTCCTTGCAGTTTGTTGTATTAATTTCACTGCTGAAGCGGCAGACTCTCATAAGAAGTATATGTATTCAAAGTATCTTTAAGAGGTACGTGTGCGAACATAAATCTAATTTAAATAGATTTTCTGAGTGGAAGAGGAAACCAAATGTTCAGGAGTTTTGTTCTTGTAGCTCAGACTATAAAAAAAAAGACTTGGTTCAGCTTTGAGTATTTCTCACTGTCAGTTTGAAGGAGAGGAGATGGTGGTGGGTTGGTACACTCCTGGATTTAGTGAAGCACTGTGGGGCTGCCTCAGCAAGCTGCTGAGGTTATTAAAATGGATGGGCAGAGGTGCTAAAAGTTAGACGAGGGCTCGATTTTAACATTTCGTGCTTTGGGATTTGGGGAAATATTTTTTTCTCAAGACTTTAAAATTTGGTTCCCAAATATTCTGCGGCATGGTCTGCCCTGGTTTGGGTTGTTTATTGTCTTGGAAACAAGTTTGGCTGTACCTGATGCTGTTTCTGTTCATCTCCTTGTGTTTGTTTTCTTCAAACTAGAGCGATGATCCTCTCCAAGTATCTCTACAAGGTCATATTTCAAAACTTAACAGGTGTAGACACTTAGAGAAGCTTCTCACTTTTTAAGTCATTTTCATATTTAAGAGCTTACCCACAAAAGTAGACAATAGTTTGCCAGCCTCATATCACCGGCTGCTCTTGGATACTGACTCTTGCTTCCTCCATCACTGAGCAGCTGCTCTGAGGTGGGCCGCTCTGCCAGCTGCTGTGACTCTGTACCAAAACTAATGAATTTAGCTTCAATGTTTTTAGTGAGTAAAACAGCAAGTTTTATTTAATATGACTCTGAAATAATAAGTGCTGTTTGAGAAGTTTTGTACAGCTGGTCGCTGCTCTCTCAGTGTTCAGATGATCATTAATGAGTCCAGTACAGATACAGATGACTCACACAGACACAGACAGTCATTAAGATACTAAAGAAGAGGAGGTCAGAGGCGGATCCAGGGTTAAGAGGAGGTGCCCCAGCCCAGTGGACACCCCCAAAACATGAACCATGGTTATTTTTCAGAGGGAAACATAGACTGTATATACTGTGGACAACTTGGCTCCGCCTTCTGTCATTATACAGATTTGAAGCCGAAATGCTCTCAGTATTTCTGGGATTTTCTCCACTTCCTGCGCAGTAGTGTAGCCGAGCTGTGATGACGCTCGGCTCAAACAGCGTATCCTCAGGTGAGCTACGCAATCCCTGAACGCCCATAGGCTGTATCAGGTGTCAATCATAGAAAACATGAACCCCCTAATAACTTTTAAAAATGGAGCTGTACAGAAAAAAGAGGACTTGAGCACAAACCAGTCTGACAGTAACTACATGTCAACATCACAACCAGGGGGGAGAAACATTTATATTCTGTGTCATTCATTTATAAAGTTTGTCCACAGCTCCATAAGGAGGCGGGGTTTATGACCTATACTAGAGCCCGTCACCAGAGGGCGCTGTTCTCACGGAGGCTTCACAGACGGCGTCCGTTCTGTATACAGTCTATGAAGGAAAACAGTTTTTCTATAATGACACTAAATTTTACAAATCTATTGATTAAAAATTCCATTTTCCATATTGTCTCCCGAGTCTGTTCTTCTAAATGCAGTTGAAAATCACCCACTGTACCTTTAAGCTCCTCTCTCGTGAGAACGAAGTCTCCGTTCAGCTCAGGAAGGGGAGCGCAGTTCTTCCCCGGCCTCCTTCGGTTCTTTTGTGTTTCGCTGCAGCAGATGAAACGTTTGCAGTTTTGTGAAGGTGATGTGAGTTCTGACTCTGATCTCTGAAGACTCCTCCTACCTCATACATTTTCCTCCTCCTCCCACAAACACTCGGTGTTCCACGGTTTGATATGAGAGCTGACAGGATTAGGATTCAATAAGCAGATTCAAGGTCAGATTGAGACTCCGACATGAACTCCAGCTTTCACTCAGGCTCTTGATGTGAGTGCTGCTGTTCATCATGTTCGCCCCATTATCTGGAAAAATCTAACAAACAGACGACACTTCCAAACAACTCCTTCCTCCTGATATGCCCTAGTTTTTCCATACGTAGCAGCTTGGAGTGAAGCTGTTGGGAGCAGGTCTCGGGGGGGCGCAGGTTTGATAAGACAAATTCTTTAATCCTGACAGGCAGGCAGGTCTAGCTCAACGGATACAGTAAATCAATCAAGGTGTCTGAGGAGAAGCAGGCCTCTGTATCGACGATGACCTCCCCCTCCCTCAGTCACTCTGTAGGACACGCCGCTCTGCTCCATTCAGGATTCAGTGTCGTTGCATTTTTACTGCGTATTAAAATACTGATAGTTTGTGTGTTTTTTTAAAAGCAGGACAAAGTCAATTCTGCCAATTTTTTATGTTTTTCAAAACAATTTCTAACTTAAACTCATTATATTCATGTTTTTAGTAAAGATAGATCTTAGATTGGTGATTAGATTATTGGGCTGTCGTCACTTTTGAGTGTCTATAATTCTTCTTTTACCTTAAAGCCTCAAACTTGGTGGATTATTCTCCAGATATCAAAGTTCATATGTTGACAGATTTTTATTAGGATTAAAAAATGACTGGATGCAGAATTTTGTCATATTGGCCACAAAAAAAGAGAGAAAAGAAGAAGTACCTTTCCGTTTTTTTTCATGCATGTTTCTTTGCCAGTAAACCTTTTTGTTATTCAGTGTTTTTAGTGCTAACAGTATACAAACCCTGAATGTCCCCATAATAAATTAACAATGAAATATGTACAGTGTAGCTCAATAAAATATCTGTAAATTCAACTGTATAATATAAAGGCGATAAGTATGTTAGGATGCACCAGTATTGATGAATCTGATGAACTGTTGCAGTGGCGTCTCTCTAAAACATCATTTATCCATTTAGATTAAAAAACAGAAACTTCCAGAGTTTAGAAATGTGTGTTAAGTGTTAAAAACTGCAGTTCCTCACATGTCCGGTGTGTAAAATATTTGCCCCATTTAAGTAAAACAAACATCTTAGTCTCGTTAAAGTCGACAAAAAATCTAAACACTCAAGTCAGTTTTTATCTGACAGATGGTAAAAAAAAATATTAGTCCAATTTAAGTCATAAAAAAGTCGAATATTTACGTTTAGTTTTAGCGGACAGAAAGTTCAAACATTTGAGTTTTATAATATCACATATTTAGTTTAAGAGGACAAAAACTCAGTATGTTTGAGTCCATTTTAAAGTCAGCAAAAGGTTAAAAAAAATAGTATTTTTGTTAAATTCAAAATATTTTAGTTTAAGTCGGTTTAGAGTCAAAACTTAAGTCTCGTGTGAGTCGATAAAAGGTAAAAATAACTATTGGTTCAGTTTCGATCAATAAAAAGTGATCAGTTTCTGATGTTATCAAACTCCTTTAATTCAGTCGACTGTTTCAGGGTTGAACTTGTGTTTAAATCTGTTGTTTGTGTCACTCTTAACTCGTGGACTTGTGTTTTATCTGGTTTGATTGGATGATTAAGTTCTGACTCCTCCGCTGCACTTCTGTCCCAGCTGATCCTCTCAGGTCACATGGTGAATTATCCTCCTCCCACTTCCTTTAACCCTCAGATTTATCGCTCATCTCGGATCTTCGCTGTGGTGGGAAGGTTTTTCTTTTTGGCAGGATGCAGTTAATCACTCTCTCTGACTTAATCTACCACCCAGCAGCGGTTGTTTGCTTCTAGAGGTTACAGAGAAACATCAGATCTGAGTTTACTCTGTTTCATAACCACCTAAAAACTCCTCACAGCAGCTTTAAGCTCTCAGACCTCCTGTAGTCGCCGGCAGTTTTCAGAGAGTTACAAAAAAAACGTGTATTTGACCCGTAAGATGGAGTGTGTGCTCGGCATCATTACCAAACGCCGCTTAGAGTCAACAGGAGGCAGGAGATGGTTCACCTCACGCCGTCCTTTTCCTGGACCATTAACCTGCTTCACAGAGCGAGTGAACGAGCGAGGGAGAGAGAGAGAGAGGGAGAGATCAGCCTTAACAACTCAGAGGCTTTGAGCGACCTGGACATCTGGACGTATTTGAACCTGGAGATTCCTGATCCGAGCCCACTCCTGAACCAGTTTCAGTCCGGGCCTGGAGCCGGGCCACGGCGGCGGCGATGATGATCAGTAGGAATCTGAAGCTTTACAGGAAGGAAACCTGCGAGCTGCGATGAATACTGAACAGGGTTGGGTGCCAAACAAGAGCAGGGGCGCCTGAGTGAATAAAAGGATAAGAGTCTGTAAAGAAGGAAGAGTGGGAACTGTGGATGATAATGTGTGGGTGTGTGTTTCATCATTATAGCGAGATGTTAGTCACTAGATCAGTCAGTCAGTGAACAGGAAGTCAACAGATTTTAATACGCTCTCGCGGCTCCCTGATGGTTTCCCCTCTTACAGCATCTTCATCCTTTTTAAGCAGCATGAGATTTCTGCCTCGGCTCTTCCAGGCCAGGAGGAGAATCAGGACTTGTTCTCACATTTCAGTCCATTTATCTGCTGCTGCAGCGGCGAGATGCAGCTCGCTGATCTTAGCCCTCCATTAGCCGGCGCGGAGCAGCATCCAGAGCAAGTAAACAAAAAAATTTAGGGACGGTCCATTTCTTCTTCTTCTTCTTCTTCTCTTTCCTCTCGCTCTTCAAAACAACACATTATCCTCCCTGTGTGTGGAGAAAGCTCCGCTCTGGTTTCGTGTTAATAAGCCTTGTTTGCATGTTCTGAGCATCTCGGTGCAGCAGGCGCAGAAATGGAGCGGCTCTCTGGTGTGGGTGTCATGGAGTTGATATTTCTAGAGATAAATTGCACCCGTGTTTCCTCAGGGTTTCTCTGAGACGAGGAATCAAACGGCCGGAGTCAGCTGTTGCGTAATATGGTGTCGTTGTGAGATTTACCACAAACATCAGGCCTCTAAATAAATCACAGCTGTCGAATGTGCTTTGCTGTTTCTGTAATTAATGTGCCCCAGAGTTAAAAATTAAAAACCCCTGCTCCTATCTTTCCCTCTATGTGCACAAAAAACGACAAAACTCATCAGATGTCAAAGGAAGGAGATCAGGATGGTTTTCAATAATTTTCTTTTCTGTGAGGATGTTTTTTCCCCTGAAGACACACACACACACACACACACACACACACACACACACACACACACACACACACACACACACACACACACACACACACACACACACACACACACACACACACACACACACACACACAGAGTTGATTATTGAAGTGGTCCATCAGGGGAAAATTTACAGGAGAAGATCTTTTCACTTTGATTGATCTGAAAACTGTCAAAACTACCAACAATCATGTCAATGGAGGTTAAATAAATCCTTGTTCCACACAGATGAATCTTTGACTTAAAGGGATATTCTGGTGTAAATTAATTAAGGGTCAAACACACCGTAACACCGAGTTAGACCCCCCCTCCAGAGATAAATGTTGTCGACCGCTTGCTTCTCTAGTTATACCAACTTTAGTAACGACCACAGGATAGAAATACAGAGAGCCACGCCCTCAACCAAAACGCCACTCTATAGCCACAAATAATGCTCAGAACAGCACCTAACTTCATCAACAGGACATATAGGGTCACAGACATAGTACTAGACACCAAACATCTTTGTAACTTTGACTCATTTCTTCAGCAAAGAGACTAAACACAACTCACCTACTCTCTTCCAGCAGACGCTTGTTTGTAGCGAGACCTCAGGCCAGTCCATTACGGACTACAGTGGGGTGACGCAGCTCAAGGAAGAACATTTATGATCATTTCTTTATCATTTCCTTGAAGTAATAATCACCATATTAATCATTTTACAGACACAATAGTTCTTCTGTCTTAGCGTCTCTGTCTGATTATATTTCCACGAAGAAATGATCATAAATGTTCTTCCTTGAGCTGCGGCACCCCGCTGTAGTCCGTAATGGACTGGCCTGTGGTCTCACTGGGACCCTATATGTCCTGTTGATGAAGTTAGGTTCTGTTCTGAGCATTATTTGTGGCTATAGAGTGGCGTTTTGGTTGAGGTTTGTTTATGTCTCCTCAGACCGCTGTGTGTTGTAATCCTGCGTTTTTTGCTGAAGTTGGTCTAACTAGAGAAGTCAGTGAGATGTTGAAGCTGGACTGTTGATAACCTCACTGTTAGCAAGCTAATTATACTTGGTATAAGAAATTTGGTTGGTTAAAATTCTGATCCATTTTTATTTGTTATTTTCCTTTTTTCTTGATGTAAAAGAGACGACGAGTTGCTGCAACCAGAAGAATGAAAGTATATAAATGTCAAGGACGACCTTCCTCAAAAACGGTTGTTGTTGTTGTGCTGCAGGTACTTTTGACATTGTCAGACACCTGCAGTGATCCTACTGCAGCAAAATCAATGAGAGTGTCTCCTCATTTAGGATGTGTGGAGCACATTAACATACAACACCCAGTCAGTGCTGATCCTTCACATCTACAGACGTCTTTCTACACAGTCCTGAAGTCACACTTTGAGTTCATGTTCACACAGTTAAAAAAAAAGTCACTCTGATGACGTAAAAGTTCTGATAATGAGTCCTCGGACCTCAGACGTGTGTGTGTGTGTGTGTGTGTGTGTGTGTGTGTGTGTGTGTGTGTGTGCTGGTGTTGTTAGTGATTGTTAGCTTGAGTGTGTGTTTGTTTAGTTAGGGGGGCTGTTTTCTCTTGTTTTATCGTTAGATTTATCCTGTGATACCCTCAGACCCTCCCTGATTATCATTGAAACATAAATGTGACACTTTTAACATCTTATAAATGAATTTTCTGACACTGTCAGTCAAAATGACGGACAGTCAGAGAGTCTCCTGCGTTAGCCTCTGATTAACCGCCCGAGTTTTAATCTTCATTTATCAGTGAAAAACTCCAGAAAGGCTCATTAAGCTTCACAAACTTCAAGAACTGATGATTTTTCTCTCTTATCTCATTTTGAAAAAAGAGAAAAAACCTTTGAAGGTAATTTTCAAGTTTGTGGGGAGAAGATTCAGACGGAAACGATCGTGTTCCCAGAATTAATTTACCCCGTTTCAGATTCCTGTCTGAATGTGTTTGTACTTATTTTTACATAAACTCATCCTGACTGTATATTCATGAGTCACACAGTCAAAGTTACCATCAGAAAAGTTCCCCGACTCTCCTGTGATCGATGTATTTCTGCTGCCATGACTGTTTCCATGGACACATGAATCAAAGAAGCATCCACAGCCTGAGTAAATAAAGTGGCTCATATATATATTTTCAGTCATTTCACTTGTCATGTGGCAGAAATGAAGGAATATTGATCTTGAGCTGTAGCTCGGCCGTAGAGCGGGTTACCTTCAATCGAACGGTTGGCGGTTTGACCCCTGATCCTGCAGTCACATGCTGGAGTGTCCACGAGTGAGTCTGGACCCCACATTGTTCTCGGTGACACGGGCGGCGGTGTGTGAATGTGCACGAACAGGATTGGTTACACTGATGGTCCCCCGCTTTAGCTTTCATTCTGCATCCATCAGTGAATCGGCTAATGTGACGAGGGCTGTAAGAGTCCTCTGAGAGACCTAAAGAGAGTAAGAGTGAGTTAATTCACCGAGGAGGTAAAATACAGAACAGACCAACGTGTCTACTGAGGCTTCTGTACGCACAGATTTAACCAGATTAAGCAGATTTTATTCTGATTAGAGACACTTTAAATGTCCACAGAAGACACTGAAAGGTTAGAGACGGACAATCTGATTTATAAAAACAGACTTTATTGACAATGAGAGACAAATTAGACCGTGTAGAAGAAATCAGGGTGAAATCCTAGTTTCCAAGTCTGTTTATTATATTTGGGTTTGTTTTTCTCAGACGTCGTTTGTAAAACTCGAGAGTCGCTGGTTGCTGTTTTTTGGACTTGTTGTTAACTCGTAGTTTCTTATTTGGGTTTTCTTTTCTGTCCGTGTGAATCCTCCCGGATTATCTCACAACACTTTGTAGAAATTAGGAGGAAGATCCAAGTTAAAACTCGTGTTATCGTCTTTATAAGCTCTTCAAATAATCTGCACTATCTGGTATAAATTCTTGTAATGTTCATATCGCAGAAAAGGAGAAGGAATCGCAGTAAAATCATCTTGCAGATCTAGATGAGGTCCACAGGGCGCCATTATGGACTCCAACCACAGAGGAGATCTGAAGTGCTCTAGTGTTCATCAGGAGGATCTTCAAACCTCGTCAACATGTGCAGAAGAATAAGACAGACAAGTTAAAGACAAATAAAATCACACATCGACGACAAACCAGCGAAGTAAACAGGAACGGGTTGTTCATCTTCGTGCCGGTCACGTCATGTGTAGTAAATTTAATGCGGCTGCTCGTCATAATTAGCCGTTCTCTGTATTGATTTGCAGCGCGGAGAAGATCCCTGAATTGTAATAAGCTGTCAGAAATTAGAGTCCTCTGCTGCAGAAATGTTCTATAATTGATCCTGATACACTGATTATTACCGCCAGAGAAACACTTCTTACTCCTGCTGATTTCTCGGAGGGGTGCGGAGATGATCAGACTCTTTAAACGATAGATCAGGATTGAGATCGGTGGCGTCCTCATTCCTCCGCTGCGTTCGTACCTGCCTCTGCGGCGCAGAAACTCTTAAGGTGTGGTAAACAATAATTGAAGCAAACAGGTGTCATAATTAAAGCGAGGAGAGCGTGTGGTCAGCGGATATCCCCCCGCTGTGCTGAAAGCTCTACGTGTAATTTCCTGTAATTTGGTTGCCTTGGCGGTTCGGTCTGCTCTACAGCCAGCTCTGCTTTGGGGAGGTGGTTTCCTCTGCAATCTGCGACTCTGATAACTGTAATCAGTTATTTTTGTGAAGTATGCAAAAATGGAGGGAAACACGGCTCAGCCCCTGCAAGGCTTGGCTGTGGAGCTGAAAAAAAAAAATCCTCTGAAACAGAAAAGAGAAGAAAAAAAAACCCACATTCAGGCAGCACACATCTGAGTGAGAGGAGGCTTCTGTCTATTGTGAAGTACGACACAAGCTGCTATCAAGATTGCTCTTTGTCTCGCATGCATACTGTGACAGCAGGCTGTAAAGACTCTGTTCATCAAGACGCCTTCTGTGGTGAGGCCTGAAGAT